GATGAGACATTTGCTCCAGTTGCAAGATTGGAAGCAATAAGACTCCTCATAGTCTTTGCAGCACACATGGAATTTACTCTTCATTAGATGGATGTCAAGAGTGCTTTCTTAAATGGCTACTTAAAGGAAGAAGTATTTGTCAAACAACCTCCGGGGTTTGAAAGCAAGGAGTGTCCAGATCATGTATATAAACTGGACAAGGCTCCTAGAGCATGGTATGAACGACTATCCAAATTTCTGCTTGAACATGGCTACAAGAGAGGTAAGATTGAGGGAAAAAGGTAAGGATCTACTAGTGGTACAAATATATGTTGATGACATAACTTTTGGGGCAACAACTGAAAAACTTAGTAAGGAATTTGCTAAATTAATGGGGATTGAGTTTGAAATGAGTATGATGGGTGAGCTTAACTTTTTCTTAGGCTTACAGATTAAACAAACTCAATTGGAACCACGATCCATCAGCAGAAATATGCTAAAGAGTTGATTAAGAAGTTTAAAATGGAAGAATCAAAGGAAATAGACACTCCTATTGCAACAACCACGAAATTGGACATACATGAACCTGGTTCATCTGTTGATCAGAAGTTGTATAGAGGTATGATTGGTTCACTTTTGTATCTTACTGCTGGCAGACCTGACATTATTTTCAGTGTCAGGCTTTGTGCTCGATTTCAAGCAAATCCAAAGGAATCCCACTTGACTGCTATCAAGAGAATATTGAGACACTCGAAGGCACTACTGACCTTTGTCTTTGGTATCCAAAAGGTAGTAACTTTAACCTAGTGGAATATGCTGATGCTGACTATGCAGGTTTCCTTGTGGATAGGAAGAGCACCTCTGGTATGGCACATTTCCTTGGTTCATGTCTTGTATCATGGGCTACTAAAAAAGCAAAATTCAGTGGCCTTATCCACTGCTGAAGCTGAGTATGTTGCTGCAACTTCCTGTTGTGCTCAATTGCTGTGGATCAAACAACAGTTGATGGATTTGGTATTGAAGTTGGTTGCATTCCTATTTTTTGTGATAACACTAGTGCTATTAGTATGACTAAGAACCCGGTTCATCATAAGAGAACTAAGCACATAGATGTTAGACACCATCTTTTGAGGGATAACTATGAGAAATGACTGATTACTATAGAATTCTGTGCTACTAATAAACAGATTGCTGACATCTTCACAAAAGCACTGAGTAGGGAGCACTTTGAAAGGAACATGTTAGAATTAGGGATGATTAAGATCACCTAATGGGACCAGTTCAGAATGCACAAATGAAAAAAATGAAAAAAATGGAAAAAAATTTTTGGTTAAGAAAGTCTGGAACTTGTATAAATATCTAGATTTAATCTTTGCTCAGTCTCAAACTGTAAATAGTATACTCCTGTGACATGTGTTGATATGAATCACTGATCTCTAACAAAATTTTCTCTATTTTGGTAAATTAAGGCATGATCAAGAGGATTCTTAGTGAAGAACCTGGTTCATTAGCACTGGTTTATCTGAATAACGAGGTATGTTTTCTACACTCTGCACAATTAGAAATAATAATATTTAATTCATGACCAGAATCCTACCTATGATAAAAAACCTTAGAAAAAACTATACCTTTTGAGTTTGAACCAGTTACATCTCTATTAGAATCCCCACCGTATATAATGCCTAGAATCTAGGGAAGGTTAATCACTTGTTCAACCGGCGATTTCAGAGTGATTGGACTTCTAATTGACTACAAAAAGCTGTCGTTAGACATTTATTACTCTTCTCTCTTTAAAAACCATCATCATCATCACTGCCACTCTCATAATTCTCTAAAAACGTCAAATTTCTTCTGCTCTCTACTCTACTCTCTTCCAAAACACAATTCAAAACTTTCTCTTCCAAATTAACAAAGATGATCAACCCCCAAGATAACCCAAGCACCTACCCCCTCTGATTCCTCCACCGCTCCTCAACCCAGCACAACCCCCCAATCTAGAAGAAGGCGAGTGAAGATGCTTGCTTGCAAAACTATGGCTACATGTTCTCTTTCAAAGACTCCTTCAAATCTGCGAGTGAGGGGGAAGGAACTAGGTCTTCTGATTCTGAGAAGGCTCAAAATCCCCTTTCTGAGGTACGTTCTGTTCTAGTTGAAAATTTGGATAATAGTTTTATTCTGGTTGGGTCTGTTATGAATGTGGAAACGCCCAAGTCAAGAAAGAGATGAGGCAAAAATAAAAGTGAAAAAGAAAAGGAGAGTGAGGGTGTGAGTAGTGATGTGAGGGGAAGAGGGACAGAAGTGGCTGATTCTTCTCCCACTTCTGAAATGGTTAGAGCAACTATTTGTGGGGCTGAGGATGAAATTATGGTAGAAAGTAGCAAGAAAACAGGGGGAAGTGACTTAGGGGAGGCTGCTGAAGGGCTGGTGAATCTAAGTTCACATGTAGATGAACCCGATTCATCTATTGAGGAGACCCTAGCAGACCTTCTGAAGAAAGTGGGTGAAAGCTATAACCCCAAGAAAAGGAGAACCCCAACACCAAAAGCTCCCAGCACTGCAAAAACTACCAAGAAAAGAAAGGCTGCTTCTCCAACAACTGTTGAGATTCTACCAAAAGGAAGGACCACAAGGAGTATGTTGAAGCAGAGTGAGAATGAGTTACAAAAAGCTATGGCTGAAAGCAAGAAGAAGAAAATGGACAAGGGAAAGCCAAGGTTGCAGAGCCTGCTGAGGCTGTTGATGTGGATGAGATGGAACAGGTCCATCAGGAAGAACATACAACTGTGGAGGTACAGACCCCTAAGCCCAAGAAAACCAAGACTTCTTCCAAGAAGTCTTCATCTGTATATCTGTATCTAAGACTGCTGAGCCTTCATTGGCTAAAAGGACAATGTCTGCTGTGAAAGCCAAGCAAGTTAGAATTACTGAGGAGGAGGAATGGAGTGGTGAAGAAGAGAGTGAATCTGATGCTAATCAAGACAAGATAGCCAAATTTGGCAAACGAACCATTTTGAAGGGTAGACTTCTGAAGGATTTGGAGGAACCAGGGATGGTTCGACTAATTGATGCTTTTGTTGCTCAGGGTTGGAAGGACGTGGTCCTTCAGTTGGATGGCAGGCTAGCAAGGAATGAGATTATAGAGTTTGAGATTGTGCGCACAATCTCAAACTAAAGGGTATGATGACTACACAAGGCAAAAATGGCCAAGTCTGGACTCCCTTCCAACTGCCCTTGCCATCACTAGGAGGTTCTGTGATGTCCCAGATGTGAATGAATCCAAGGTCGTGTATAAGAGTGAAATGAAGCCATGCCACAAAGTCCTGTTTGAATTTGTCAACAAGTGTTTGCTGCCTAGGCAGGAAAGAAGATACATTGCTAACACATGGATTTGGTGTTGATGGAGTGTCTAGAAAGTGGAAGGCAGATCAACTGGCCTGCATTTATGATCAAGCTGCTTGATAGGGTTATCAATGGCTCCAAGGCCCATGCCACCCTTTATGGGTTTATTTCCACTACTGTCCTTGCACGATGTAAGGTGCCACTAAGAAGTGGGAGATGGCCACAAGCAAAGATCATTTTGAAATAAACACTCTGATTGCTTGTGACTATGAGGTCAATGCCATTCCCAATGAACCTGGTTCATCTAAGAAGACACCTATCAATAGCAAGGTCAGAGCTCTATTGCAGGAGAGTGGGGCAAAGGATGCTGAGATAGCTACGCTGCAGACTCGTTTTGGCAGAGGTTGAATCTGAGAGAGATGCTCTCAGAACTGAGCTCACAAAGGAAAAGGAAAAGAATGATGGAATTCTTCAAGATATGCTGCACCTTCTCCAAGCCAAAACCCAACGCTTGAGTTCTTCCAAGCCTTAATTTCCTTAGCCTTCACTCCTTGATAGTTGTCTACATCTTTCAGTGACCCAGATTAGGGATTTTTCTTGTTTTGCTCATGTTTTAACTATTTTTGTTTCTTTTTGTGGATTGTGGCAGAATCATATTATCTATCAATGAAGTTTGTTGTTTTTGCTCTTATTGACTATTTATATTTCCTTGATAGTTTGAATATGGTTGGTTGATTACTGATGATTAATCCATGATTGCACTTGCAGTTGCCCTAGTGGCCATGAGTAATTTTTAAAATTCTGGGGATCACACTGTGTTTATGCAACTTTTCGATGATGCCAAAAGGGGGAAAAGATATTGTGCTTTATATTCTGAATAAGTGATGTTTATAACCTAATGAACCTGGTCCTTGATGATAAGTAACAAAATCTCTAACTTTGCATTGATGATTGAGCTAAGTTCTGACAGGACCTAAGTGAGTTAAAAGCACAGAGTTTGTCATCATCAAAAAGGGGAATTAGATTTTGACCCATACAATTGTCATTTAAAAAAAAAAAGTCTTCCAAGATCTTATGCATGAAATATATTATTTAGCTTCATGTGCGCAAAACATAAATAAATTAATTATAGTTAAATAATAAAAATTTGTGATGGAAAATAAACGTGGTATACATGTAGTAGGCGTCTGGACAATATATATTTGGCTGATATTGAAGGATAAAGATTATTTAAAGATAAAACTGAAAAAGAAAAAAATACATGCTTATATCTTTTTTATTTAATTTTGTGCTCGTTACGACAAATATTTTGCAGGCCTACCATGTTGGATGCGAAGTTTATTCCTTTGTAATCCCAATCTCGTCTAAGGTCGTCATTTTTGAAGTCGTATACTTTATTGAATTTTTAAATTTAAATTCGGTGTATTGAAGGTTTGAAGAATACGTAATCATAAAGTAACATTGTACAAGAAATTTTAAAAGTAACCTAATATAATAATAATAATAATAATAATAATAATAATAATAATAATAATAATAATATATTATAACTATTTAATTAAAAACTAGTTAATTAACATACAGAGTATTTTTTCCATATAACTTAACTTCTTTTTTTATTTATATTTGGGGAAATATATTGTTAGCCTTTTGTTATGAGTAGATAAATATGAAAATTATGCGGATGTTGCAAACTCCACTCACCCCCCATTATTTGTTGTTTGGCTAGCTTTGGTTCGTGGATCGCTCTCGTCTTACTTACTGTTACATTGCCTCTGCTGCAGACTTATCCTTCCACTTCGTCGCCATTTCTGAATGGTTCTTTCTGTGTATGTCTTGGCTAATCAAATGCATTTGAGGTAATCTATTGGATTTTTCGCTTGGTATGCAGTACTGGAATCCATGGCTAATATATATACACACACACACTTGATTGCCTGGATCTCCCCCTCCCCCCCAACAAGTGAGCGTTAGTTCTTCTGTAGTCCATCTGAGATAAAAAAATCAATGGTGTATTTATGTACAACACTTAAATGCCAAAGTAGTTTAAAAAAACTACATTGTCCACTTATAGGGTATTAAATTCATAGTATGCTGTATGAGTTATTCCTTTCATGTGGTATAACAAATGACACATTTCTTGACTGTTGGATAGGTCACTTAGTTCTAGTAATCTAAAACCAGCCCAAAAAAGCATTTAAAAGTTTAACCTCATTGCTTTTGTTTAGTTATGTTGGATGTGACTTTGACCTGTAATTCCTTAGGAATCATCTCAGGCACAAATTATATTTTATAGCTGTCATCAATGTTTTCTGGTTTCTGTTGCTGTTACAGATCTATTGTCTAGCCGAGGGTCTTTCGGAAACGGCCTCTCTACTCCTTCGGGATAGGGGTAATTAAGGTCTGCGTACACTCTACCCTCCCCGGATCCCACTTGTGAGATTTTTACTGGGTTGTTGTTGCTGTTGTTGTAGTTGTCATCGATATAAGTTGTGAGGTTTTCTGGCTCTTTCTTGTTTGCAAAATAACCATCTTTGCTCTTCTTCTCACAACAGAGAATTATCAACGATTCTCCAAATGGATTCTCTACTTGGGAACTTTTCACTATATATTGCATTGTCTAATATTAGAATATCTTTCTGACTTTGAATATTACCATTTCCTATGATCGAAATTATAAGCCAATGACCAATTCCATTACACTCTTTGTGTCCTAATCACTTTCTGAAACTTTGGTAATCACTTGTATCATCATAGTTTCATTGACTCTTCAAGCCTAAAATACATAAGATATCTGTTAATTAATTAACAGGCTTTTTCTGTTGTTTATTGCAGATATGAACTCCAAGAATCGTAGCCCTCCATCGATGTGGGGGCTAATCCAATTTACCCCCATCTAGTCATTGAAGTTAAAAGATATTGAGAGTGCATGTTTGAGACTTTAGCCGATGCAGATCTTCAGTTGTATTATATAGTTGCACTGAGTGCCAAACTACAGCAGGATGGAATTTCAAGAGATTTCCGTCTCAGTTAAGAAATCAAAACATTTTCCTCTGACTCCTTTTAGAATTATAAGGGGTGTGATATGTTTATTAGTTCTACTTTCAACAGCATTCGTTTTCTTGATCTATTTCGTACCTGTGGCAGCTGTTCTCCTGCGCTTCTTCGGCACTCTTTATAGTAGGAAAGTTGTATCACTTCTCTTTGGTCTTTGGCTTGGATTATGGCCATTCTTATTTGAAAAAATAAATGAAACCAATGTGATTTTTTCTGGTGATCATGTCCCGCCAAAAGAACGTGTTCTGCTGATCGCCAACCATAGAACTGAGGTCGATTGGATGTACCTGTGGAATCTTGCATTGAGAAAGGGATGCTTAGGCCACATCAAATATTTACTTAAGAAAAGTTTGATGAAATTGCCAGTCTTTGGCTGGGGATTTTATGTGCTAGAATTCATCCCATTGGAGAGAAAATGGGTAGTCGACGAACAGGTGATAAGACAAATGCTTTCGACGTTTACAAATCCTCAGGATCCATTGTGGCTAACCGTTTTTCCTGAAGGAACAGATTACACGTAGGTTTATTGTGTTATGCATTTCTTCTCTTATTTTGGTCCTTTTGGTCTTGTCACTTGTGTTCTTGTTTGTTTCTCCCTATACGGAGCAGAACAATTGAATTAGCTGATAGTCTACATATCATCTAAGTATACTTTAGCTGAAAATTTCGACTTATAGCATTGTAAAACTTCTGCAATATTTGTGTTACTTTTCACCTCTCTGAAGTTGTAACTTGCCTTTATTTAGTGAGCAGAAATGCAAAAGAAGCCAAGAGTTTGCGACCAACAAGGGATTACCTGTTCTAAAGAATGTTTTGCTTCCCAAGACAAAAGGCTTTTATGCCTGCTTGGAAATACTAAGGAGCTCTTTGGATGCAGGTTCTATCTTGTTACCATTTCTAATAGAAATTTCTGTTTGCTTTTATTTTTATTTGCTCTCTTGCATTTGAGGGGTAATCCGTTATTACAAGTTTTGACACTTGCATTAAGAAAACCATTTGATAGCATTAATTATAATGAGTACTTGACTAAATTGCTCGAGGAATTGCCGACTATATGCCTCAAGGCTGGATTAGAAAAAAAATACTAATGCCTTTTGGTTTTCTAAAATGCTATGTTGCGCGGACTGTGCAAACAATACGCAGCCGCACCCGTGTTGAATGCACTATTATTGGAGGATCCGACACATATCCACGGGCATTTTTGGAGAGTCTGAGTCAGCCCACTAGTGATTTTATTCGTTTTGGGCCTAGGCCCGCGCGACTTTAAAATGCGATATCCAGCACCTCTCCCGTGTTTTACGATGTGGTATTCGCCTAGGGTGTCACATACCACAATGTCATCGCGTTTTCCCTACCATCGTTCAAGGTTGCACGCTGAGTGGCTCTGATACCATATGTAACAGCACGACCCACTAGTGTTATTATCCGCTTTAGGCCTAGGCCAGCACGGCTTTAAAATGCGTCATTAGTGTCTAAGGCTTATTTACTAATATATCCTTTATCTCTCTATTCGCCTAAGGTGTTAAGGCAACATAGCTAAAATGAGCATATTCCTGAACAATTATTTTGCCTGGAGTGACAATAAAAAAGATAGGAGTAATCTTGATCTTCATTGCACCTATTTTCTCCATTCTTATTCACACAATCTCACATTCTCCAATTTGCTGAATTTGCAGTTTATGATGTGACTATTGCATATAAAAATCAATGCCCAACTTTTTTAGACAATGCTTTTGGTGTTGATCCATCTGAAGTACATATTCATGTTAGACGCATTCCTTTTGATAAGATCCCAGCATCTGAAAAGGAGGCTTCTGAATGGTTAGTTGAGACATTTCAGTTTAAGGATAAATTACTCTCTGATTTCATTGCAAATGGTCATTTCCCTAGTGAAGGTACAGAAAAAGAACTATCAACAGCAAAATGCTTGGTTAATTTAATAATAGTAATGACTCTTACTGGAATATTTATGTTCTTTACATATTCATTCATCTGGGGAAAATTTTATGTAGGTTTCTCTTGTATATACCTTGCTTCTGCTGCTTACTTCAATTTTCGACCATATCCTATTTTTGGTTCTGTAAATGAAAGGCTGAAAAGAATTCTTAGAATGAAAAGTCAGTAGAAAATGTAAAACATCTGTTATATATCAGTGATGCGTATAGTTAATTCTTTTTCTTTTACTTTTCAATGGATAATATAATATTTTTTCATCTTGTATCCTATTTTCTTCTTGCTACTTTGATATGAATTTAAGTTTTATGTATTGACGATGAAAACTACAATTAGACTACTGATCCACCTACAGGTATTTATTTATAATAATCATGGATTGATAGACATGGAAAAATAATTAGTAACTTGCTACAACGGGTAAAGGTTGATTCTTTTTAAGGTTAAACTGTAATGAATAAATTCTTTATATTCAACTATACGTGACTGAAATCCTTCTAATACATCTTCATTACTTTTAAATTTAGTTTTATATATTGATAATGTAAAAATTGTTCGCATTTTTAATCTCGAGAAATAAAATCAAAAAAACAAACCCCAAGTTTTAATAATTTGAGAATAATTATAATATAATCTCATTACTGATAGCAACCTGCCGCCACCAAATTGAATATTTTTGTGCAGTGCGTGCCTCAGACCTTTCAATAAAAGAAATCCCTTAAAAAAATATTTAAGTTAAGAGCTTCTTTCTGTCTTTTTTGGTTCAACCAAAATGACTCCTTATCTTTTCCTTCTTCCATATTTATTTTGAATAAGTCTTGTCTAAGCACCAAAAACAGAAAGTGAAGGGAATAATAATTTTAGTAGAAAGTTTTGCTGGTGGATTTTACATGGCTAAACCAACTTGATATAACCAGACAAGAAAAAACAACAGGATAAGAAAAAGCAGCAGTTAGTTCTCTCATCAAACTCACCTTAATTAAACACAATTTTTAAAGTCTTGTTTTTCGTCATTGAGTTAGGTTAAAATGAAACATCAAACATCCTTTGCGTGTATTAGGTTTTTTTGTCTTCCATTAATCCCTCTCATATCCACACTCTTGACCTTTCAGAATTTCACCTAAGGGAAATGTTGTGTGTTCTTTAGGCTTTGAATCCAAACAATTACAAATCAAACAATACATATTATACATATTGAGTTTAACTTTTGAACACTAACGGTATACAATATTATTAGGTTAAAATTACCTATAACATTAATCTTAATTTGATAACAAAAAATGCAATAAATATTTTGCTCTAATCGACTAAAATATATTAATAGTGTAAAAACTTTTGCATTATCAGTGTAAGTTAAGTTCGTGCATATTTGAACCGTTGAACGAGAACAAAACACCACATATATGTAAACATGCAACATGTTTGCATGTAACAATTGCAGATAAATAATACTTATCACCTTAGGCTTTTCCGAAAGGAAATTAAAATAAATAAATAAATCCTTGGATATAAAAACATGAATCATGGTATGTTAGTGAGACGAGTCGAAGCAAGTGATTGGTAAAAGGTTACACTAAAAAAGTTATACAACAACCTAGCGATTAAACCTCAATTCTTCATGTTTGCATTTTTGTGGTAATACAGAATCTATTACGTACCTAGATGAAAGAAGCTCGAAGTTCTTGACGGTAATTAAATAGTTTACCCAATGTTAATTGTCAAAATTTTATCAAAACCAGACCTTAAATGACTTGTCAGTTCTATCACGTTTTGGCCCCAGCAGAATTACATTAAATACGCTGACTCGCCGGTAAGAGGTTGGCTAAGTTGGTTGGGTTAGTAGTTTCCCACATAGAAGACGTGAGATCGATTCCTCTCCAACAGCCTCCTCAATTAGAGCTTGTCGCACCGGGCTTGCCTGGTGCTGTTTATATCTCCTGTCTAGTTTGCGAGCTATTACATTTAGTGCGCATCTGAAGAGTGGCGATTGCGAGTTTCCTAAGAATTTTCCAAAAAAAAAAAAAGGGCCGTCTCTAACTTCATAAATCATTAGGTGAACATTCTCGTATTTCCTTTTTCATATTTTTTTTTTCTGTTTTGTTTATCTTTGATATACTGTTTTCAATTGTTTTGGGTTCGGTGAACTAATATCGAAAATGGTTTAGAAATCTAGTAATTATATCCGTGAAATAAACACCTAACTCGATTAAGGGCAGGTGACCTAGCTTGGCAATATTCAATATTTGTTAAACCTTATAAAATTGTTTCATCTATGTATCTTTCATTGTAATGACTATACCAGCACGCAGGGCGGACCTAGTGCATGGACTACGTGTTCCCGGGAACCCAGTAACTCTTGCGTAGACCCTGTATTTATATTAAGAAATTCACTAAATATTGGTAAATATCTTATTGTGAACCCAGTTATTATTTCATATTAATCTGAAATTACGGTAGGAACCCATAAGCCTCAAATCCTGGATCCGCCTCTGCCAGCACGTTATGAGTTAGTGATCACGCCCAACTATGCCTTATAAAAAGGACAATGCGGTCGCTGCAAATATAATCCGGTTTACAAGTCCGGAGTCGAATCCCACAGAGAACTAAGGTTTAGCTACAACTGTTCACTATCACCAAGAAGACAAGCTTGAACAATTCCTAACTTATAGATATTAAGATTCTTGTGTTTAACTAATTAACTAACAAATTAAAATAGTAAATTAACAACTAACGATACTGAGGGTTAGAGAAAAGATTAAGGAGGTCTAGAGTTATGATTTTCCCAATTTTCGGAATCCTTCCCGCTATGTCTTCTATAATTTCGCCTAAGTATTCTCTACCGATCATGAGCACTCTTATTACCGTAAATCTCTCCCGAGTAATTACGACAATTTACTAGACGCACTCTCCCGAGCTACGCTAGCTGGCTTTTAATACAGCTCACTTCAGATCGCACCCAAGGCTTCGTTATCCCTAATCCCACCTTTAAACCCTCGGTTATTGATCCCTCATATACTCTGGGAGTGGTGTTGTTCAACAATTACCTAAATATGCACTCTCTCCCGAGTTATGCATACTAAATAGGCACAGCTAATTGATAGCTCTTCAATCAACCAGAATATAATCGTAGTTGAACAAATAGAGAAAAGCTATGGCTCAATTATATAAAAACATAACAAGAATTTATCCTACAAAAGGTTCTATCAAAACTCTAGATAACAAATTAGCTATTCATAATAGCATGTAAAACTACAATACTAAAAGTCATAACCAACAATGAAAAATAGGAAGAGGAAGGAAAAAACTCGTAGAAGAATTCTCCGCCTTGCTCCCAATGTGTTCCTGCCTCCTTAGGTCGAATCTATGTCTCAAAATATGTCCCCCTCTTGTTCTTGGCCGGCCTCCCTTGTTTAATATAGGGTTTAGGACTTAAAATTCCATATTTTACACTTTAGTCCCTGAAATTTTCGCTTCCTGCCGCGGTTTTGCCGCGGTCGCGGTGGAACCGCGGCCAAACATGCCCTCTGATTCTTCAGTTGTCCGCGACCATCTTCTACCGCGGTTCTGCCGCGGTTGCGGCAAAACCGCGGTTGTTCACCCTGTTCCGTTTGGAATTTGGAAAAACGTAAAACATGAAAGTTGTAGCCCTTTGAGTTAGCTTTCCAACCATATATTGTGGAGCCCAAATGAAGCTCTGAGCAAAAAGTTATATCTATTTTACTAGACAGTGCGCAATATGCCTCCTCAAGCCTTCGTTCGTACTTAATTGTCAAATTTGACCCCCGAACACGATCCCGGATTAATTCCTTGAGCTTTTACTCAGACTTCAAAGCTTCAAATCACTTAAATTCATTCCATAACATCTATATAGCTCGGAATCACACCTACAAGGCATAAAACACACAATTAGTGCAAAACACTAGCGATTAAAGCGCAAACTCAATTAAAGTGCAGTAAATTCGAGTGTAATAAGCGACTAAAATATGCAATTATAGCCTATCATCAGTTAGTTTATTTTGATTTGTAATATTATGTACTCTAATTTCATCCATTTGAATCTTGATTATCTCAAAAGTTGCATTAATCCTAAGAAGACAGTTCAATGGCGTCAATGATCCAAAATAATTACAACGACGTACCTTCTAACATTATTTTAACAACGCGACTGACAATTTCTTACACGAGCCAAGGATCCATGATTTCTGATAAAGGAAAACATTTTATCCTATCTTTTTATAGGATTAATAATTATAGGGAGCAGCGAAGATGCGAAACTCATGAAATTGAAATTTGAATTACGTACAATCTAGGTGGAGAGCTATATAATAATAATTTGAATAGGTAACGGAAATTGAATTTAATTTATGTGTGTCGACAATAGTAGTAATACTTTTGTACTATTAACTTAAGATTCCTACAATAATATATTAGTAATATTTTATAATAAATATGATCAGATAACCTAAAAATAACGTAAATAACATACTACTGTATTTATGCTTAACTATACGAACAAACTTTTTTTCCAAACTATAAAAAATTTGGCCATGGAAATATGTGCATGTTGTAGCTGCCAATGAGACGTTGTGATATTGGAGCCTTGCTCATGTACGTCCTCTGTTTAATGTCTCAGAATTCAGATGACTGAATCCCTTGGTTTTAAAATATGTCGCGTCACGTGCTTCATGGAGGCCTAGCACGTGACCCGCAGGGACGAAACCACACTTAAATTAGGGTGGTCAATTGACCACCCTTTTGTCGAAAATTACACTGCGTATATAAGTAAAATATTCGGTTTTAGAGTTACATAACATATATTGAATGCCCTTTGTTGGAATTTTTTAAACACCCTTCAGAAAATTTCTGGCTTCGCCACTGGTGAACCGTATAGCAGCTCGCTCTTATTGTTTTTTTTTTCTTTTCTTTTGCTGTCTTTAGTATCATGAAAATCATTTTTTTTGGATAAATGTTCTCTATACAAAATAAATTGTTGGTGTTTAACTAGGTTACCATCTGTATTGGGAAAAAACTGAATTTATATAAGATGACGTGTCATGACACGTGGACCGGTCAAATAGTCAAAGCTTGGTAATCAGTTAGAAGGCACGAGCAACAACAGATGCGGGAGAGAAGATACTTAAAGGCACGAGCTATTATTCAAATGAAATGAGACTCGTACCTGTTCGAGTCATTTAAAGCTCGAAGATCGGAAGGAATTGAAGAAATGAATCTGATAGCGTAAAGGAGTCCAAATTCAGCATTAAATGCCAAATACGTTGAGAGAATTTGTATTTAATAGGAATGATTGAGTAACGTTTCTTTTAATGTCATTTATTGTTCATAATTGCCTCATTAAGACAAAGGCATTACACTTTCTCAACACACTGCTAGGCAAGCCCGACCATTTACACAACCTTGACCAAATAACCTAGGTGGATAAATGAATATTCACAAGTAAAAACAACAATTTAAATGCGGAATCTCTGAAATAATTTCTAACATTCGAAAACCCCAAGATAAAATACTAAATAGCCCACAGATCTGGTGTCACGAACATGAGCCTCTAGAACGGAATATTCACCTATCACAAGTCTGTCTAGGAAAATAAATACGAATAAAAGGATAAAATGGATGGGAGAGATCAAGGTTGCGAACGGCATGCAGCTACCTCGATACTCCCGGATAAATGCTGCTCCGCTAAACAAGTCCTCACTCACCCTGTGGTGTACCTGAATCTGCACACAAGGTGCAGGGAGTATTGTGAGTACTTCCAACCCAGAAAGTAATAAACATAAATAAGGGTTGAGAGTAAGAAATCCTGGACAGGCACAAAGTAAGCTATAATAACAGCGGCTCAATCTAAATAATATCAACTCAATAAACTAATGAAAACAATTATAGAAATATCACAACAGATGAATAAGTAAATGGCAATCAAGTATGCAATGCAACACATAAACCGGTACCTCCAGTACCCCGCTGCGGCCGTGCAGCCCGCTCCATTTATTTAACATCGACGGCGCTCACTGGGGGTGTGCAGACTCCGGGAGGGGCCCCTTACGGCCCAAGCGCAATAATAAGCCATCTCGTGGCATCAAACAGGCCCTTGGCCTCATATCAATATCATTATAATACTGCTGCGGCGTGCAGCCCGATCCCATACCCAGTCCAAAAATCACACAATAGTATAAAAATATTCAGCCCAAACTTCATTTAAAAATATTAACTTAATTTCTAATTTAAGAAAAAGGCTGAGATTTCAAACACAGTATTAAATACCAGGACTGAGTTTAATATTTATAAATATGGTAAGAAACCATTGTGACTATACTGAAATATAAACTTATTCATTGCTTTATTGTCATTCTTAAAGTCTCTCATTTCTTGATTATCAGTAACCCGATTTCTCTCTTAATTTATAGCTTTAACCAAATATTCAGTTTTTTGGTTAAACACCATCAAAATTGAACAAAGACTTCCCTCACTTATGATATGAGTCATTCTCTGTAGAATCTTGACTTTTAACTTAAAATAATTGTTACAGTTAATATTTGACATTATCCTTTAGGTTTCAAAATTTTCACCAAAGTATGTAAAGATTTTCTAACATTATTAATGATTTTTAATATATATCTTCTTTTGAAAAATATTTTCCACACAAACCAAACACCATAAATGGAAAAAAAATTTCTTCCCAGGAAAGGGATGGAATACGTTTTCCGAAAAAATATCTTCTATGAAAAATAACTTCTGTAAGGAGTATGAAACACATCTTAATATTAAAAGTTTTTCAAACATGATTAATACTCGATGGAAGTTAGAGAACCATTCTCATTTCCCCTTATAACAAGAATAGGTTTGGGAATAAATGTGGTTTACTATAAATACAATTTCTTTCCTATTTTGTAACTTACCTTAACAAAGCGGAAGTAATATATAGTTCTTTCTTGTAATATTGTGCACCTAGTGTTCTCTCACACCAAGTACTCCATGCTAGAATTTTAAGTTTTTTCTAAAAGTAAAAAAATTGTAGAATTTGCAAATTCCATCATGCTTTTATTTAGAAAATTTAAGGTGGAGCATTATTAATAGAAGGTTTTGAATGCGTGCTTGTTGGAGAATTTTTTTTACTAATAAGTGGAGAAAAAGGACCAAAGGCAAAGGGAGTGTCATAAATATTTGGAAAGAAATCTCAAAGTTATTAATTGGCATTAAGAGAAATCTTTGCGTGTACATGTAGTTAATGGAACTTGACCACAAAGATACCTTTGCATGGCAATAAAATCTTATGGGATTTTAAATAGCACGCAAAGAAATCAAAGTTTTCGCCTACAAATCCGCACACAACATGGGTCATGGTAAATATGCAGATACCCAATAAATTCCATCAATGGTAATTAATTAAATACTATACAAAGAGGGGAAAAAATTACTATAAACATATTAGTCTCACTCTTTCGACCTAATTAAAGAGAATGACAAGGCTCTTCTAATTTGAAGTATAAAAAAGATTTAATTGGATAAAATTCCATATTATAGTATACCGTTTTCGTTTTTTAAATAAAATTCTGCGTAACTAATAATATCATAAAAATAAGGTAAAATAAGAAGCTTATTTTTTCCTACGTGATGGGGGTGGGTGGGGTGGAATATGGGAATAATGGGTTATAAATAGAAGGGTCCAACGTTTTGATAGTCCAAATTTAACTTCCACAAATCTGCCCCCAATTACTACCATTATACTCCTTTATTTTTTTTCCTCTGCTAATTAATTCCAAATATGGCCGCCTTGCAAAAACAGCCTCTTTTGCTCCTAATTGCTCTCTTCATGTTCAGTAAGTTTTCATCTCTTTTTCCCCCAGATTTTATTCTTAGAGATTCATATATATAGTGTATATTTTAACTAATTTGAAATTGAGATGTCGTAGTTAATACCAGGGTCAACTGAATGTCTTTTGTTCTATTTTTTATTATGCTTTATACTTTCATAATTTTTACCAAAACAGAGCATATAACATTTTTTTTTTTTTTTTACCTTTTTTCTGCAGAAGCAATTGCTGTTTCAGCCACGCAGTTTACGCTTCAAAACAATTGCGGTTACACAGTTTGGCCAGGTACTCTTTCCGGCAACGGAGTTCCTATCTCCGGCGATGCCGGTTTTGCATTAACTCCCGGCGCAACCATTCAACTCTCCGCCCCTGGTGGATGGTCCGGCCGGTTCTGGGCGAGAACCGGTTGCAGCTTCGACGATTCCGGCAACGGTAAATGTACAACCGGCGACTGCGGCGCATTGAAGTGCATCGGTGGCGGCGAACCGCCGGTAAGTCTAGTTGAATTCACCATTGCTAATGCTAACGGCAACGATCAGAAGGACTTTTACGATGTTAGCCTCGTCGACGGATACAATGTCGGTATCGGCGTACGGCCTACCGGAGGCACCGGTGACTGCCAATACGCCGGTTGCGTCAACGATTTAAACTTGAATTGTCCGACGGAGTTGCAGGTGATGGATAACGGCGCAGTGGTGGCGTGTAAGAGCGCGTGTGCACAATTTAACACGTCGGAGTATTGCTGCACTGGCGATCATGCGACGCCGGCAACTTGCTCGCCGACGCAATATTCGAAGCTGTTTAAGGATGCATGCCCTTCTGCTTATAGCTATGCATATGATGATGCTACAAGTACCTGCACTTGCTCTGGTTCTGATTATTTAATCACATTTTGTCCAACCAATTCTTAAGTTTTTTATATGATTAACAATTTATTATTATTATTATTAGGAGTACTATTTTGGTAATCTCCATTGAGTTATAAGCATTATGGATAGAATTTATTGTGATAAAGATACTAGTCTTTGATTTAGTAACATTTTGGCCCTTAATTACAAGAATAATATACCATTTACTTCCTATTACTTAATCGCATTTTGTCCAAACAGTTCATGAGATTTTATGGTTGATCATTTATTTGGTTGTTACAGAGTGTACTGGAGTACTATTTTTCGTAAACTCCATTGTTATAAAAAGAATTGATAGAGAAATGTTATTACTTATGTAAGTTGGCTGCTCCAATTATACTGCATAATTTTCACCAAAAGAATTTTAAAAAAGTAAATATGCGAAGAAGTTAAGCTGATTCAACACTTATATATATATATATACCGTGTCATTTTCGAGGAAGTTGGTTCAACTGAACCCCTTCCGCCCATCTAGTTCCTTCCCATGCCGGGGACATCTCAATTTTTATCATTCAATATAACAAGAATTTCTCCATTTTCAAGACTAAAATTTGAATGAAGAGATCTCATTCATTTTACCCTATCCCTCAAGGTGTACTTGTTTGGTTCTTCCTTACACCCAGTGGCGGAAGCACGTGGTTGCAAGCGGGTTCAGTTCACTTCATCAAAAAATAATATTGTGTATATGTATAAATTACGATTAAGCTGCGTAAATTTTGTACAAATATTTTATTTGAACCCGCTTGACAACTACTATTTTACGACTAAATTTATGTACTTTCATGATTGAACCCGCTTGCACAAAATTCTGGGTCCGCCATTGCTTACACCCTAATCTAAAACTAAGTGAAAATAATATAGTAATCCATTTTATTACTCCACAATTTTGAGGTGAAAAGATTCTTTCCTGGGTCGGTGTGAATCTTGTGAAAAATAGGTACATCTATACATTGGAGTTCAAAATGGTCTATTTGGGGACGGAGAGGAGTCAAATCATTGGTTGATTAAATGATAAAAATTTTCGATTTAGTTGAACAAATACAAAAAAAGACAGAAGTCAGTCAGATTTGTCCATTTTCAGGGGATTGCAACTGAAGCAACATTTAAAAAAATAGTGTAGATCAATCGAGGGCAATAAAATTTTCTGTTAATTTAATATCCAAACCCCTCGACTGTTCTGAAAATGTTAACATGGATAAATAAATAATTAAATGCTTAATTCATTGTAGAGCTTCTGTATGGGTCAGAATCTGACATTACGGTAATTAACGGAGTTAATCTCCTCTTGAGCTAATCCATAATTAATAAGTGGTACGGCCACTTATTTATAAGAGGATTCGACTCTTGTCCGATTGAATCTACGAGGGCACGGCCCATTCATTCCCCCACGGGGACGGAACCTCAGCGTGGCCACGGCCATTTATTGCCAGCTCACGAAGCTCACATCTATAAATACTAAGACTGGAAGCCCTAGAAAAGGGGCTGCTTCTTCACTACTATAGACAGGAGAGAGAAGGAAAAAAATATTACTCATCTTATGGAAGAGAAAAACACCATTGTAAGGCTCTGAACCTCTTCATGGAGAGGCAGACCAAACAAATATTATCAATAAAGCTTTTAATTTTCTCCCCCTAATTCTGAAGTACTTGTTTCGTTTCTTTCATTTGGTCCAACGAACATTATTTTATGATTTGCTATGGATTTTCCGTGAATTTTATTGTTTTGCCACTCATAAATATGTGATAAACTTTTGAGCAAAACAATTTTGGCGCCGTCTGTAGGATTTCGTAGCAAAATCGCGTAGTTCTTCCATGGACCAAAAGGAAGAAACCCGAAAAGGAAAAGAACAACCCAGCTTAAACAAGCCAAAGCTGGCATATCAGGCGCGATGGGAACTCGAAGATCTCGAATCAAGATCCAGTTCCTCTGTCTCTCATCTATCAGATGATGCAAACAAGAAGAAGCAGCCCCCCTCCCCTCCTAAGGGAAGGTCTCTGTAAGGCATCCCCACATCCCCGATACAAGATCCGGCCAGGAAACCCGGCACGGAGATATCTCGAGGCCGAGAGTCGCCTCAAGACAAGCCCCTATAAACCCTGGTTTGGGAAAGAAAACGGATGAGCCGCTCAAGGGTCTCGAATCCAAAACCGAGCTTCAGCACTCAATACCCACAAATATGGGACTTTAGGCCATTGAGCCTTCGTCATCAAGATCGACCAAAGTTCCAAACAACAGTTGAACTGGGACTCAGACCATGAGCCTTCGTCATCAAAGATCGACAAAGTCAACAACAGTTGAACTGGGACTCAGACCATGAGCCTTCGTCATTCAAAGATCGACAAAGGTTCAACAAACGGTTGAAACTGGGACTCAGGCCATTGAGCCTTCGTCATCAAAAGATCGACAAGTTCAACAACAGTTGAACCAAGACAGCTATCGCTTCACCAAAAGTTCAACTACGGTGAACCGACGAACAAGGCTACGCGCCTTCACCAGAAAGTTTAACTACGCTTGAACCGGGACTCAGGCATGCGCCTTCGCCATTATTATCAAGGCTATGTGCCTTCGTCAAAAAAAAGTTTCAACTACGGGTTGAACCGAGACAGGCTACGGCGCCTTCACCAGAAGTTCAAACTACCGGTTGAACCGGAACTCAGGCTTATGCGCCTTCGCCATTATAAGGCCTATGCGGCCTTCGTCAAAATAGTTCAACCTACGGTTGAACCGAGACAGGCACGCGCCTTCACCAGAAAGTTTGACTAAGGTATGAACCGGGACTCAGGCTATGCGCCTTTCGCCATTATATTCAAGGCTATGGCTTCGTCAAAGAGTTCAACTACTGGTTAAAACCAAGAACAGGCTATTGAGCCTCAACAGAAAGTTCAAATACGGTTGAACCGGAGACAGGCTAACGCGCCTTCACAGAAAGTTCAATTACAGTTGAACCGGTGACTCAGGCTATGCGCCTTCGCCATTATATCAAGCTATTGCGCCTTCGTCAAAGAGTTCAACTACGGTTTGAACCAAGACAGGCTATGAGCCTTCACAGAGAGTTCAACTACGGTTGAACGAGACAGGCTACGCGCCTTCACCATAAAAAGTTCAATTTACGGTTTGACCGGGACTCAGGCTATGGCCTTCGCCATTATATCAAGGCCTATGCGCCTTCGTCAAAAAGTTCAACTACGGTTGAACCGGGACATCAGGCCATGAGCTTTCGCCGTCAAATCGACTAAGGTTGAAACGGACTCAGCTATGCGCCTTCGCCATTATATCAAGGCTATGCGCCTTCGTCAAAGAGTTCAACTACGGTTTGAACCAAGACAGGCTATGAGCCTTCAACAAGAGAGTTCAACTAGTTTGAACCGAGATTAGGCTACGCGCCTTCACCAGAAAGTTCAAACTACGGTTGAACGGGACTCAGGCTATGCGCCTTCGCCAATTATATCAGGCTATTGCCTTCCGTCAAAAAGCAACTACGGTTGAATCGAGACAGGCTACGTGCCTTTTCACCAGAAATTCGACTAAGGTTTTGAACCGAAGACTCAGGCTATGCGTCTTTCGCCTTATATCAAGGCTTGCGCCTATCGTCAAAGAGTTTCAACTAGCGGTTAAAACCAAGACAGGCTATGAGCCTCTTCAACAGAAAAGTTTCAAACTACGGTTGAACCGAGACAGGCTACGCGCCTTCACAGAAAGTTCAACTACGTTGAACCGGGACTCAGGCCTATGCGCCTTCGCATTTATATCAAGGCTATGCGCCTTCGTCAAAGAGTTCAACTACGGTTGAACCAAGACAGGCTAATGAGCCTCAACAAAGAGTTCAACTACAGTTAAACCAAGACAGGCTTATGAGCCTTCAACAGAAAGTCAACACGGTTTGAACCGAGCAAGGCTACGCGCCTTCACCAGAAAGTTCAACTTACGGTTGAACCGGGACCTCAGGCCATGAGCCTTCGCCGTCAAAAATCGACTAAGTTCAAACAACAGTTTGAACCGGGACTCAGGCTATGCGCAACGTCATTTATATCAAGGCCTATACGCCTTCCGCCAAAAGTTTCAACTATGGGTTGAACAAGATTGGGCTGCGCGCCTTCACCAACAAGTTCAACCACAGTTGAACCAGAAAGGCTACGAGCCTTCGCCCCAAATTTAACAAAGTCCAACAACAGTCGAACTGGGATCCGGCTGCGTACCTCCGCAATAAAATCCAGCCACGGTCGAACCTAGACTCAAGCTATGCGCCTTCGCTATGAATCCAACGAGTCGAACCTCGCTCGAACTACAAGAATGGACGCCCTTCGTCCTCAACTTTAGCAAGTCCAACCATAGTCGAACCGAGACCAGACCCAACGCTTTCATCTGTGAAAGCAAAGCCCGACCTCCAACAAATCAAAGCTGCAAATAGGCACC